ATGACCTTGTTTCATTTTATTTTAATGGTTGTTTGCTTTTCTGTACACGTCTTTCAGTGATACTTCTTGGCATAAAGTTTCCAGTTACCTCACGTACGTACATTAATTTATGTTCACAAAGACCCTGCTGTGTATTTGGCTTACAGAAACCAGAAGGCAGCCTCCAGTTTATTTTAGATCATGGAAAAAGTGATTTAGTCAATATTATAAAGAACACCTACCCACTTTACCTGAATTTTAGCTGCTGTATCAATTTTCCTTTATTCTGATGGTGAATGGTAGACACATGAAGAAATTATTTATTTAAAAAAAAAAAAAAGCCTTAAAATGGCACAGATGTGACCTGAAAAGAGAAATGGATTTTATCTGCTTCACAAGGGAGGGAGAAATTGGTCTGGAGATTCACTGCAGAGAAATGAGTGAGTTATTTTGCTGACTGTCAGTGGTAGGTAACAATGTAATTCAATAAGCAAAGGCCAGGTTTGAATAGATAGAAAATTAATCTTCAGCCACTATCTCCTGTGGGATTTTCTGGTGTCAGTATTGATTGCATTTCAGCTCCTGACTTGAGAGAGAAATTGATTGGAGTTGGATTTTAATCATATTCACAAGGATTATTTTCCTTCAAAATAGGTGTTTTGCTACTTTCCTGAAAACAAACTTTAATGAGGTATTAAGACTGAACCAACCAATGCCACAATCTGTCAGGCTTCTGATAGAAATACTAGAGTAAAATAATTAATAAGAATGAGGTTTTTCTTTTTAATCTTTCCTTTTTTTGTTTTTTTTTTTTTGTTTTTTTTTTTAAGATTTAGGTGTAGGTTACTTGTAATTTTTAAATCTTGCAGATGGAAACTAAATAGTTTTTACTCTTTATATGAGGAACCACTATAAACCTTGGATGCCTAAGGCCTGGCACAGCATTAGTCTTGCTGGTCAGGAGGTAGTGGCCCAAGTGAGTGTAATATTAATTTGCCACTACTGTTCCTGATACCTGCCTGTTGCATGCAAAACTAGCATAGACACCTTGAGATTTAATAGCAAAATTAATCCTCTGTGAAGGAAACTACAGAACTTTTAAAGGATTTTGTCGTTTGGTGGCTCTAGGTTTTGGGGGGCAGATAGATGCATTGTTTCAGTGTCAGAGTCGTACCTCACAAAATACTCCCAGAAAAAGTCAACAATTGGGGTGCAAAAGCTTCTAGGTTATTTTATGTAGTTCTGATAGATCCACTGTCCTCCATCAAGGCCACAAAGGTAGAATATAAAATATAGTTCATCTGGAGAAGGTGAATCAGTTAAATTGAGAAAAAACATAGTTGAAGAGTTTTTAGATTCAATTTTTGATTTTGGCCTCATGGAATACTGTTAGAAAGAATAATAGATACAGTCTTTATCATAGTCATTGAGGGGGGGCGGGGTTGAGGGACTGGAGGTGTGTGCTTTTAGAAATGTGGGAAATAGACTTTGTGTTTGAAAGTTTAAGGCATTCAGGTGGATTACTTAAACCCTTTCAGTTTCAGCAAAGTTTAATCAAATTTTGGCAGTAGACTTGAAGCTTCTTCCATAGCACATGAGTGATGGGAGAGGTTGAAGGATAGTAGCTATTACTTGGAATGAAATTGAAATACCAAGCAGAAGAAACATGGTAATTTTATGTTCAGATGCTTCAGGAATTTCAATCAAAAATCTAAATCTACTGTGGTATGAAAACTTCTGTGCAAGACCTGCTAGGATGGACCCCTCTCTCTTTTACCATCCCCCCTCCCTCCCAAATATTTCTTGTGGAAAATTAGTTGGAAGAAATCCTATGACACCCACTCATTATGGTATTTTACTGTAATAATGTGGCTTGATGGTCCCCAGTTCTTTTCTGAAGTGTTCTGTGAAAGCACCGAGAGTTTCTAGTCATTGGTACTGATTTCAGAAATTAGATTGTTAGGGTTTTTTTTAAATCAGATAGCTTTCAGGCATCTGTGAAAGCACCGAGAGTTTCTAGTCATTGGTGCTGATTTCAGAAATTAGATTGTTAGATTGTTAAATCAGATAGCTTTCAGGCGGGAGAAATTTTCTCACATGAACGATTGATTGTTGAGATTGCACTTGCAGAATTAGACAAACTCATTACTTTGAGCAGCATGAAACCAAAAGGTAGCTTTTGAAAAGAAATCCAGAATTTGCATAATGTATAGAATTCCACTATCACAAATGTAGAAGGAAAAAAAAAAACAAAACACCAAAACCCTATGTAAAACTTGAGCCAAATTACTTTGTCTGAAGCTATCATAATGCTGTGTTATTTCAAATCATAGAACACATAAACTGTTATTGATCTTGGCTCCAGTTTGCGCATGTCAAAGTAAGCTATAATGGTTTGTGGTGGGTTGACCTTGGCTGGCCACCAGGTGCCCACCATGCCTCTATATCACTCCCACTCTCCAGCAGGACAGGAGAAAATAAGATGACAAAAAATTCATAGGTCAAGATAAAGGCAGTTTAATAAAGAAAAGCAAAGGCCATGCACAGAAGCAAAGGAAAACAAAAAGATTTATTCTCTACTTCCCATCAGCAGGTGATGTCCAGCCTCTTCCTAGGAAGTAGGGCCTCAGTACATGTAGCAGTTGCTCTGGAAGACAAACACCTTAATAACAAACGCCTCTCTTCCCTCCTCCTTTCTCTTAGCTTTTATTGCTGAGCACAACATCATATGATACGGAATATCTGTTTGGTCAGCTTGGGTCAGCTGTCCTGGCTACGTCCCCTCCCAGCCGCTTGCCCACACCCAGCCAGCTGGCCTTTGGAGACCGATTTGGAGAGACAGCCTTGAAGCTGTGCCAGCACTGCTCAGCAGTAGCCAAACCACCCTTCTGGCTACCAATACAAACCACAGCAATATGAGGGATGCTATGGGGGAAACTAACTCCATCCCAGCCAGACCCAATACATGGGTTTACTTTATGGTAGATTTAAGAGAGTGCCATACTGGATCAAAACATTTCAGGCTGCATTGTACAAGTACTTTCTGCTTTTCTAATCCACATTTCAAAACTAAAACATTACTGTCTCAGAAGCATCTAAATGCAAAAGTATGATATTCAGAAGTTCTCTTGCAATGTCCATAACAGCAGGTCATTGTGTCCACCAGAACTATTAATGAAAATAATACCACACATGTGAAAGTAAAAGGTACCGTGGGCTCTTAGGTGTTCCAAAAAGAAGAATGTTTTTAGGTATTTTACACATTTTATCAATTTAGATTATTTAATGCCATGATATACCTGGACTTTACCTGGCAAGAGATTTGCTTAAAGAAAAAAGATCATCCCTTACTTTGAGCATTAGGAGTTATGCTTTCCTTTCTGTCTCATCCACCAGAGTGGGGTTAAGTACTAAATAACAAGTTCAACAACTTAGCATAAGATATAGTAGCTATGCTGCATAAAAGTAGTCAAAATTAGTACACACCTTCTTTTCTTCCAGAAGTTCAGTAGACTTGTATTGTGAGATTCATCTCACCTAATTCCAGACAGCTGTGTTGCAGACACTGGTTAGGTAAATTGCCCTAGGGCTACCTTTATAGTTAATGGAAAGGAGGAGGCACTTCTAAAGCATAATTCATGTCATGGGAAAATAGATGCCTAACTGAGATGAGATGAATTGCACTCTAAAAAAGCCCATTTCTCCTCATTGACTATGAAGGCAGCCTGGGGTGATGAGCTCAATACTGCTGTGTCGTTGAAATCGGTGGATGTCACTGGTTAGATTAGTTCTGCCCTTTGTGTTTCCACTTGCTTACTTCAGGCAACCTTTGAACCTATGCTTATTATAACATTTGTCCGTAACCCTGTGATGAAGCAGATGAGGAAACGTATGCAGGTTACTTAGATTACTTTGTGGGTAAGTTAGAATTTAGCTCTGTATATGTTGATAGGGGATTATAGACATGGTGGTAGTATATAAAGAATAGCCTCAGCACACATGTCCCTCGCTGACCAGACAGGTGTTCTTTGTCAGCCCTGTTTTTCAAAAACTGATGACTCTGAAGTATTAAAAATAGCCTTATAATTGCCGGCTTTAGTGATCATTCAGTATCATAGTTGATTCATTACTGATTTAAATGGCAGTCTACTTGTGCCATGGGGCCTCTTGTTCCAGCTGCAGCTGAGCCAGGTGAAGATGTTGCAACCTCCCCTTTAGGCTGTGCTACCTCCTGGGTTTCCACCCTTCATGCAATTTTTGTAGCTGAGTTAGAAAAAGCATCTGCTTTCCAAAATTTTTAAGAACTAGTCCATATGACTGAGTGAATTGGAAGGAATCAAGAAGCTGGGGGGCAGACAGGTGAGAGAGGATAGGGATCCAAAGCAGGCAGGTGGTGGTGAGCACCTGAGCATTTGAGAACCTTACCAGCCAGGCAGCTGTAGCCAGGAGAGTACATAAGATTTCATTGAGATTTATTATTAAAATAAACCAATTAACAAAACCTCTGTCGATCAGAAGTTCTAAGAAGGCTTAATTTCCTTTCTTTGTCTGGATGTGCACCAGTGTTTCTCAAATTTATTTATGATATGTATATTAGTGGTATCATTTTAAGATTTGTGATTTACTATATAATCTACAGAAGGAAAAAATGACACACACAGTATTTATATTTGGATCTGGAACAAATTATTACATGTAATAAAAGATAAAGTATTTGCTTTGCATTACAGGTGTAAAAATTCCATGCACATATGAAATTTAGTTGTATGAGGTGTTAGGCTCTCACTTTTCTTTTGCAGCTCTTCATTTCACTGAGTTGCGTTGGTACCTCATAACTCAAAATAAAGTATGCACAAATATTTCTGGACCTGGAGCAAATAAATGTGTTTATACACTAATGTAAAATGTTAGCTAAGAAAGAAGGGCTATGAATCTGTTATGTAAAAACAGGCAAATGTGAATGCAAATGTTTTTAGCATACTTTGTAATATTTTGCCCTTTACATGTCTTTCTTTAAAAAGCCTGAAAAGAATGACACTGAATCTGGCAGCCAGAGAATCAGACCAGTATTTGAAGAAGATCCTGTTTTCCGACGGCAAACATCTTACCAACATGCAGCAGTCCACATACCAACAGATATTTATGAAGGCTGTAAGTAGCATGTGAACAGAGTGATTTTATTTTAATATTAAGCTTATTATATGTGTCCGATTCTTAAAAACAAGTAACCTCCAAAACCAATTTTCACCTCCATTTTTAATCTATAATTGCTGATAATACCCTTTTTTCTTCTTTCAGTAGTACCTCAGATATGTGCTCTATTAGGTATATGATTCATCTTACAAATTAGGAGAAGCCATAGTTAAAGAGATTCATTAGGATTGGATCTGAGTTTCAGAAGTGGAACTGGAGGTGAAACAAAACTCTTACATATTCTAATTTTCTTATCCATTCTTTCTCTATGCTGTGTTCTCATTTAATACAAACAATCCTTGACAACCTTTCTTTACATGGTTTTGGCCTCAGGTAGAGAGATGAGTACCGAAAACATTTTTTAGTATCCCAAAAGCATATACAGTTCAGGCAGATAATATGCTGTGCGAGGTGGTAGTACTTACATTGCATGTGATTCAGTTCCAGAATGGCAGTAACAGATTTTGGCAGAGAACCCGAATAAATTCTATGATTCTAAATTCTTTCTAAACTATGTGAAAAATAATATATATATGCATATGCAAATACTGCTGAGGATTCTTTAGTTGTATTTCAAAATTATGTATTTATCTTTTAAGATGAAAATAACTTCCTTTTTCTTTGCTCATCATCAAGAAAAAATCATTAACCAATAAAAAGACATTTCAGCATTCAAAATGGCTGCATATTTTTAAAAAAGAGGAAGAAAAATTAAATAGGATATGTATTTTTAAGTGGTTTTTTTTTTTTTTTTTTTAATTTAGGCTCCTAATTTCTAGTATGCAGTCTTTCTCCTCTTTCAAAATCTCATCAAGAGGAAAGAGACCCTAATGTGACCTGAGCTCTTTAAAATTCATGGCCATGTTTTCGTGCAGCTGATATAAATGACACAGGGATGAAAATGGAAATGTCAGTATGATGGGGGAAAGAATCATAGTGCCTCGTATTCTTACATGGTGTGCTTGACTGACAGACCTAGAGGATTATTCTGGGATTCTGGCTTTAATAAGTGGTAAAGTGCACCTTAATTGCAGGATTACAGGGAAGAGACAGGCTATTTCCTTTGTGGTTTTTTTGAAGAGTATTGATACTTCACTGTTCAAATGCTAGAAAAACTTGCCTCCAATCATTAGGATATTTGTAAACACCAAGTGAACTTATACCAAAGTTTGTCATCATAACAGTATGAAAAATGTTTTGTTCTTATGTTTAATTTAACATTTTAGATGGTATTCCTAAGGACATTTATGTCCCTTAAAAATACATGCTAGCTAATGTTACTGTACAGACCATTAACCTAAAAATGAAGGCAGGCTATGACTTCATTAGGAAAGGTACAACTTTAGTATCTAATACAATGATAATACGCCAGCAGAAATGTACATTTTTTGAGAGAGGTAAGTAAGTGCATATGCAACATATATGTTTCATGATTCTTTGGGTCTGGCTCTCATATTAACTACCAGAGATGTGGAAGCCTAGAAAATTACAGGGAAGACTGTAATTCTGTGTCAGTAAAATCCTCTTGTTGGGTAGCTGGGTAACTTCTGGTTAGAGATGGTGTTTTCAGAGATAACAGCTTGAGAATACCTAAAAATCACAGAATTCATATAAATAAACGCAAAATCATCACCGGGTTTATTTTACAGTAACAAAGTTCATGTGTCATCTGAAACACAGTGAGCAATTGTAATGTAGTCATTCACCAACAGATTCCCAAAAGTAGAGTTTAATTTTCTTTTCACAAGCAATAGTATCTGCAAGCAATTTTTATAACCCGAGAAAGAGTGATAACGGATCTTGAACAATGTTGCCATTTTTCTTCCTATTGACATGAGCTAAACTGTCATTTCCTGATAGAGGTTTCAGTGCCCACTGTACTAGGGAACAGTTGTACACTTTGCAAATAGTTTGCAATAAATCTGCAAATCCTTGACTACAGCACAGTCTGCTAGTAAACATTTACAAAACAGATATTGCAACAGATCCTTCTAAGAAACAGATTACAACTTGTTATTGCTCGGAAGCCAATTTTATTGGACTGAATTACACCTTGGAAAGCAGATTTCATTTTTCCCCCCTTATTGGATAAGTTTTGTAGGATGCCAAGAGAAACAAAGAATTGCGCTTTGGATCTCACAGATCAGGTTTCAATGACTAGGTATTTGCCTTTCCTGCTCTTCCTTGAGATTGGTTTTCACTTCTGTTGCTTCTTAAAGTAGCAGGTTGTGGTCTCTAGGGGAGAGGGACAGTTACGGTTAGAGCCATGCATGTTCCTAAACCTGAATTTTCACTTGGATCTGTTGGTCATGCTTTCTCATGTTATTTATTTTTTTTGCTGTATGAAGCTGGGAATTTGAGAATCACTGACTCTTAAGCAATATGTTATCCATGGCAACCTTTCTTCCCTGTTCAGATTTCATTTTTATTGTGGGTATTAGTTATGATGTTTAAAATATGAATCATATATTGAATTTTTGTCATTAGAAATTCTGATTGCGTGGATCCATCCTCCATTTAGCCCTTTGAAACTGGGAAACTGGTTTAGCCAGTAACTCTAATGGTGTGCCACCTATTTACATTTGACAAAATAGTACGTGCTATAAAATGTTCTCTGGCTTCTTACATACGCAGTGATTTGCTTATTTTGAAATACAGCAATAAGCTACTTGTAAGAGAGTGCCTTTTATTTCATCATAGAAATACGTGACAAATCATTACAAAATATCCATTTGCTACATCCAGGTCATTACTTTGTCGTTTATTTGATTTCAGAAAGAAATATTATGGAAGTTATTTTTGCTTTCTCTCTTCTGTATTTGGTGCCAAAGCCTTAGTAGAGACAGGGAAAAGTGTAGGGCATTAATTTATTTGCCTCTTTCTGAGGTTTACAGTCCCACTGCAGGAGAGGGCAATCCCAATAAAACAGACCCAAACCCAGGCTTTTATTTCAATATTTTTCAGGAGTCCCACTTACGTTTTGAAATAAAATCAATCTGCTGATGAAAACAGAACAGATCCTCAGGTTGTCTTTCTACCACATGCACTGGGAATTACTCATTCATATCCTATTAGTAGTAACAGAAGTCTTATTTCTAAATCCCGGTTAAAACTGTACCCTGCTTATCCCAAAGCAGAACATGGGATCTGCAGGCCAGAAGTAAGAGGAAAGCCTCAGCACAAGGCAGGTGAGGTTAATCTGCCTAGCGGATGCCACCGTGCATTGCCCTTTCTGTCTCTGATGCATAACGCACCATCTGCTACAATGGCTGCTCTAGATGTAAGCGGGTACTGGTGTTACAGCTTTAGGAGAGGTGTTAGGCAAAGCACACAAACAAGGATTGCTTTTGTTGTGTGTTATTCCTCCTGCTTTACTTCCTCTAAATCAGCGACTGCAATATTGCTTTCACATCTCGCTGCTTGATTAGCATTGAAGAGTTGATTAAAGTGTCAGGTTGACAGTAATGGGTCTTGAACACGATGACATCGCTCGGAATGTGTTTGGACAGCTACCATCAAGAAGAAAAGGCTTCCCCTGCTCAGAACCCATTAAACCAGTCATAATTAGAGTTACAGTTAGCTGGTGGTTCTTACAGCTTAATAATCATAAAATATACATAGTGTTTGTTCATACCTTCCTTTTATTGGGATGGCAGTCAAAATTTTGCTGCTCCTTAAAAATCTTCCAAGATGTATATTATTTTTTGATAGCAAGTTTGATAGTGGACAACTTTTTTCCCTTTGTTCAAGTGCATCATATATGTAATTATTCAGTTATTGATAAAGTATTTTGACATAATAGTGCTTAGTGCTGGCAGGCAATCAAAACTGTTAGGAATAACTTGGAAAATTCTGTTTTGATGCTATAGTGTTTTTTAACTTGACTGGAATATTATCTCTTTGACTGGAATTTCTATCGTATTGAAAAATTTCTGCATACCTTGGGTATCTTGGGCTTCAAGCTTGAAAGGAAGGGAAATTCTTTGGGAAGAAACTTAGGAATGCTGGGATATGAAACCATGGGAGCAAGAATATTCCCCCTCAGAAAAAAAACCCAAACCAAAACAACTCCAAGAAACTAGGAGAAAGTGCATTGTCATTTATTGATGGAAGGTCTTTATGTGTGGATAATAAATAAGATTTATTCAGGAATCAAGGTATTGATAAAGAGTTGTGTAAACATTTTGGCATGCTACATCCTCATTCCTTAAATGACTAAAGGGGCGATAAAAATGTTTGTTCTTTTTTTAAATTTAGTTTATATAGCAATAACAGACAGGCAAGACAGTTTTGTGAATTAAATTGCTTGGTTCAAAATACGTTAAGGTTAATGCTGTTGATATATTGTGGTTATAGCCGAGAAACTGAAGCTATTCAGAACTATTTTCCCATGGTTTCTTCTAAGGGATAGATGAATAGCATTGTTTTACTACAGCTGGGATTGAAAAATGATTAAGTCTCTGATTGTGTGTGTGTGTATATGTTCACACCTTTAAATTTGGAAATAGAAGTTGGATTATATCATTATGTATGTCTCGTACAGATGGCATGTGAAATTACTGTTTGTTCTATGTTTGGGGTTTTTTTAATATATTTTCAATTATTTTAATCAGTGTGTTATTTGTGAAAACATGTAATGAGTGAAGTGGACCTTTAAATGAATTTTCAGTGTCAGCCTGTTTTAAATACCAAACATAATGGCTTGGGGTAAGTATAAAGCAAATCTTAGTTGCAGCCAAGTCCCTAAGTACTGCCTGGTTGGTTCAATATTAAACCTGGAAGGAAAACACTGATGCAGAAGCTTAAGCAAAGACCTCTAGGGTCGGTATTGCTTTTTATGTTCTGACAATTGTGATTTTTTTTTTTTTTCCACAAGTAGCTAAAGCTCCCTGAATGAAAATCTTCTTAAATAAGCAGCAAAAAGAAATAGCGCTTTTAACTTGATGAAAAATATTGTT